TGAAGCATGCTATCAGAACCAATTATGAAACGATATATTTTTGTTAGCACAATGCAATCTCTCAAGATGGTTCGTCATTTCATGAAGAAATGTTATCACAATGTTGAATTACATACTCAGCCAGTGAATTTCTATTTGAACTGACAAACTTGTATAAGTAGTCAACTCTGCTTTGGTCGATTACTTGGATTGAATTGGTAGGTTTGAGAATTGAAATCTTTGAATTTGTCAGTTGTCTTGGCTTATTTTATCCTATCAAATTATGCAGGGTCCTGAGAGTGAGGAGCTGGCTTCTGCATCCCGACTTGAGGATGATGTCAATTTTTATCAAACCGTTAATCCTGAAGTGGCAAAGCTTTTCCATATTGACGCAAATGTCAAACGTCCTGCTTTGGTCCTGCTCAAGAAAGAGGAGGAGAAATTGAACCATTTTGGTTTGTTTACCTTCTTGTTCTTATCTCTTTTGGCTGAAGATCTGGTGTTTTTGCAAGAAAATTTGATATATATTCATCATGTCTCTGCAGATGGCCAATTCATAAAATCTGCAATAGCAGAATTTGTGTTCTCAAACAAACTTCCTTTGGTCACAACTTTTACAAGAGAAAGTGCCCAATCAGTTTTTGACAACCCAATCAAGAAACAGGTGATTGATGAATATAATGTATTGTCGTTCAAGGAAGAAATGTTATTTATTTGTCGATGATGACAAAGTGATCTTCTGACATTTTTATGTGTGTGAAACTCTTTCTTTAGCTGTTGCTCTTTGTTACTTCAAATGATTCAGGGAAGCTACTCCCAGTATTCCAAGAAGCAGCAAAATTTTTCAAGGGAAAGGTATATTTTCTTAAGGCTAGCCTTTTAAGATTCTGTAAAGCACTCTTTTTCTGAATTTGCAAATTTGTCCATAAGGTTAGAGGAAATAAAAAAATAATAGCTGCGAATACTTAAAAGCTCATGTGGAAAACATAAAATTATCTATTGCAGCTGATCTTTGTACATGTGGAACTGGATAATGAAGATGTTGGAAAGCCAGTTTCAGAATTCTTTGGCATCAGTGGGAATGCTCCAAAAGTATTATTTTTCTCTCCCCTTCTATATTCTGTTTCCTCAAAAATTCATTTAAGTTGACATGAGTATTATGACAGATGATATCCTTTGATTGTTTGGGAGTAAATTTAATCACTTGAAATCTCCTATTCAGGTACTTGCATACACTGGAAATGATGATGGAAAGAAATTTGTGCTTGATGGAGAAGTGACTGTTGACAAAATTAAGGTACCTCTCTCTCTTCATTGTCCTACCCCACCCATGCTGGATGTTGACGCTGACATTGTGTATCATAGTGTGAAGTATGCATGGATGCTCTATTCTATGTTTATGTACTCCGTGGAAATAGGATTGTGACTAAAACCAGTGGACGATCCTTGTCTTGTTCCAGGCATTTGGGGATGATTTCCTTGAAGACAAGCTAAGACCTTTCTACAAGTCAGATCCAGTTCCTGAAAATGTAGGCCCTTACCTTTTTTCCCTTCCATCAAATTTGCAACCCTTTTGCATTGTCATATAATATTATTATTGCAAATTTTGGAATGATTGAGAGGCCAACCTTTCCATGGACTAACTGGTTACATCTTCCTTGACTTGACGACAGAACGATGGGGATGTGAAAATAGTGGTTGGGGATAACTTTGACGAGATTGTGTTGGATGAGTCTAAGGATGTTCTTCTTGAGGTACAATTCTGACACTTATTGTTGCTAAGTAATACTCGCCTCTGCAGTCTGCACCTTGTCCAGGTTGATGTAAATGATTGTTTTTTAAATTTGAAAAAAAAACCTAGATTTATGCGCCATGGTGTGGTCATTGCCAAGCTCTTGAGCCAACATACAATAAGCTAGCAAAACATCTGCGTGGCATTGAGTCTCTTGTCATAGCCAAGATGGACGGAACAACAAATGAGCATCCCAGGGCAAAGGTAACTCGAAATTTGGCATGATGCAGCTAGCACACTGAATCTGCTATGGCTTGTTAATAAGCTAATGCGCGTTTATTTATGTTATCTCTGTCAGACTGATGGATTCCCCACCATTCTCTTCTTCCCAGCCGGAAACAAGAGTTTTGACCCTGTATGTGTATCTTAAATCAATGTATTTCCTTCAGTGTGGGAATATATTATATATATATATATATATATGAATGCATAGGCTTTTATCATTGAATGATGATTATTTATGTGGGTTCATCGTTGTGAGCAGATTACCGTGGATACAGATCGTACAGTGGTAGCCTTTTACAAGTTCCTAAAGAAGCATGCTTCAATCCCATTCAAGCTCCAGAAACCGACGACAACTGCCAAATCAACTAGTTCTGATGTTAAGGAGAGTCACAGTAGCAGTAACGATGTGAAGGATGAATTATGAGGATTTAATCAGTATTTTATTTGGGGAATGGTGTTTTGAGTTTAAGCATGAGTGAACCGATTACTGCCGGCGTAGAATCCAAGTCCAGTACCCCCCTGTTCCACTATAAAATATGAAGAATGGGGTCGGGAAGCTGGAGAAAATAGAGGCCATGTTATCTACACTTTGCCTCTTTCCTTGAACAGATGCCTACTTCAAAGCATTTACTAACTTTTTTTTCCTGTTTTTCTTAAACCACCCAATGTATAAAAATCATATTGGACTTTTAACTAATTTGAGTAGCATAAAAAAAAGGCCGACGATATGTGTGTTTTTTTTTTTTAACTTATTATATTATTACTTTTATTTTCGTTTTTTCTTTCTCTGATTTATTATTTTAATTTTAATCTCAAAAATTTCATTTTTTACTCATTTTTTTTCTCAAATTAATATCCTCAGTCAACAAAATTTTATTAAATTATTCTTTACCCATGTATTCATGGAGTAGCGTCACACTTTTAAGCAAAAAGGATAATTTTTGACTCTTCAAAATGAACGGATGTTCTAAGCCATGGACAATCATTAGGTTTGGGAATATGACAAAACAACCAGCTTGAATGATGTGAAAACGAATGGCCCAAAAAAAGATGTGAGAACGGGATTGAGAAAGAAAGCTGAGAAATCTGCCACCAGGTCCCCCTCCCATATAAATTGACCATAACTGACAATAAATCCCTGCAATGGGTCAAAATCTTTACTTCTTTTAATTGTTCATTAGTATGTTTTTATTTGAAATAATTTTATTCTAGACACGATAGAATATTAAAGGCAGTTGTATTTTATAGCAAGAATTTAAATATTAATTTATTATGTTATTAAAATCTTCATTTTAATTTTAATATTGTGGTGTTTTGATGTATTCTTGTGCTTAGTGAGCTGAGATAAATTCAATCATGGGTTTCTTTTGTCTCCTCTTGCCATGTGGAGGGCTTGGCCTCTGCCCTCCTCTCACCAAAATTCTTAATCTAAAAACTTGTTTATCCCAAATCACCACCTAAATCACGAATTTGGGTCTGTTTGGTTTCTGTTCTCATTTGTTTATTTTCAAAAATTATTTTGTAATACAATTTTAAAAATTATTTTTCAAAACAAAACAAAATAAAAATTTGTTTGGTTTTATTAATTAAAAAAATTTTATAATTAAAAAATTTACTGATAGTAGTGATTATAGTCAGTTAATGATGATAATTAATAATAAAAATTGATTAAGATAATTATAATTTTTAATAATAAAATGTAATGTATTTTAAAACAAGAAAAATAAAATGAAAACAATTTGAAATTTTTCTATTTTTTATTTTTGAAAACAAAAAATAAAAAAAGTTTTAAAAATAATTAAATGAAAAATACTTATCCAAATAAATTTTTAAAATTTTTTATTTTTTTTTTAAATAAACAGGCCCTTAATATCCCATTTTCAATATATGAAATCATGACAGCAATAAACATTAATTTTTCCGATCTTCCATTTGTCAACAAGGGCAACAAGCAAAAACAAAACTTCTCCCGCAAATTATAAAGCAATTGCAAAGCTTGACCCTTATCTTCCAAAACTCAACCCTGTTGACTTACTTGTTGATCCTTGAAACATTTCCCTTTCTCCAGTTTTTGGTATTCAAAATCCTCCTCCTCCTCCCCTTCTCAGTTATGGATATTTCTTCTCTGCCATAAACTTATTGATAATGATAACGAGTTCAAATAAAATATAATATGATATTTTCTTTTTCTGCCCACATAAAAAAGAGAAATAGAAGATAAAATAATGAATGGGATGCCAAGATCTTGCCCGTTATTGAAGGGGGAAAAAGCCATTTAAATCTGGGATTCTCACGGTCATAGTCAATATCATGACTATTGATATCAAAATTTTAAACAAAAGTATACTTTAGCATTCACGATTTTTTAGATTCCATGAGATATATGAAAGATCCGCATCCATGTCATAAAATATATAAATTCGAATATGTATGGCTAATTTATGTTTTTATACAAGTACTTGATGATACTTGACAGCTGCTATCATTAGTCTAGATTTGAGCATAGTCAATTAAAGATTTTTTTAATATAGATTTTTATCTATAAAATTTACAGCATGGAATGTGTTTAACTTAAGTCAGTCAACTCTTGTCCATCTAACCTAAGCACAGTTGTTAAAACAAACAGTTCGAAAATTTAACCGAAGTAAAACTAAGCGGTGGCGAAGAAGAAGGAATATAATCGTCAAAATCACTGTCACTTCAGATTTAAACATCCTTCATGACTTGAAGTCTCAGTTTCACGACGTATTTAAAGCTCGAGAGACCCTCCTCAATTTCATGAGTTGATAATCTTTCAATGCATTCCTCGTTCATTCACATTTCACATGCACAGCTAATTTTGTTTGTTACCTTACCTTGTTATTTAAACCAGCGATCTTATCGCTTTGAACGTGTCAAGATCTGAGTGGCTACGATCTTAGCGTCACCTTCAATTCAGGCCCTCCGATGTATGCTCCTCCCGCCTCCCCAAGTTCTGCCTCTCCCTAACCGTCTTCTTAACCTACGCATTTATATATATATATGTATATATATATATCCCAAATCCCCAGATCTACCTTCCATCTTCCCCCCTCCTTCCAGTTTTCTTCTACAATTACCAGATCTCCGTTCGCACTGTTCTTGTAAGTCTAACTTTCAATTTCTCTTTGCAATGGCAGTTCCTCCGCAATTTTCTTTTGTTCTATTCTTTCTGCTTTCTTTGTTGCTTCGCACCACTGTCTTCGCCGATCCGCTGCAGATCTCTCCTAGCCCTTCCGTCTCTTCGCCCGCCCCCTCTCCGTCCTCGTCTCCTCTTGATTCCTCGTCTGCTCCTTCCGTCGATGCTCCTGACTTTGCTCCCGCCAGTTCACCCTTGGGTTTATCGCCTCCTGCACCTTCTCTCGACAGTAAAACTCCTGCTTCCTCCCCCTCACCCTCTCCCTCCCCGTCTCCGTCCCTGACTCCGTCTCCAGCGCCGGAGCCGGCTGATGATGGTGTAGTTAGCCACACCGGTGTAAGCGATGAAGAAGGTTTAGCGGACAGTTCTTCGGGGGGAATGAATGCTGGCAAGAAGACCGGGGTAGCGCTTGGAGTTATCGCCGCGGCCGGTGTGGTTGTGATGGCGGCTTTGGTTTACAGGAAGCGCCAGCAGAATATTCGGCGATCTCAGTACGGATACGCGGCGAGGAGAGAGATTCTGTAGGGTGCTATACACAATTCTATCGTCATTGCTTTAGCCCGGAGGTTATACTCTTCCTGCCCTCTCCATATGATTACTAAAGGCATTTTTTTTTTTTTACACTCTTTCATGCTATATTGATCACATTGGCCATACATGATGATAGGAAGTCATATTCATTTGAGATTCTTTATGTCGGTGACTTGTGATGATCGAAACATTTGTTTCCAATCTCAAACTATCATATTGTAATTTCGTTCGTTGATGCTGATTGTCATGGATCTGGTGAAAATTCATTATGTTAAGATCAATGGGATTCCTATATGGTCTTTAATGCAACTGTACTTTCGTTCAGTCCTCCGCAGTTTTAGAGTACTGTTCCTTTTGTATCCTTTTATTATTGGGGATATCCGGCATTAACTAAAAAGCTTGAAGTTGCGAGTGCGGGTAACAGTATATTCTAGCTGACCGTAGTTCTAAAATTCCGAATTTTCACTCATTTCCTATTAATTACATTCTGGTTTTATTTATTATGCAGATACTGAAAGATTATTTTTTAAGTCCACATAAGTCAACTTAGAAGAAAAAGATGAACCTTTTTAGAGGTCAGTACTTCATAAAAAAAATTGGATCATTAATTTTTTTAATTTTAAAAAAATTATCAATAATTTAATTAGCTCTACAGGGGGACGAGAGAGTAATTTTTATTTTATAATTGAATTGAATTAATTAATATGCCATCTTCTACGTAATCATCAAAATTTATGAATAGCAACAGTAGCGGCCCGAATTTTAATGGGCCGGGGCGGAATGTGTGGAATGGGTTGGAGTTGCCACTTGGCAGTTGGGGAGGGGACACCTGAAGGCTGTAACACGGCGGCACGCAATGCGGAGGTGATGATGCAAAAGAACGTTGTGGCTGCATTGCTATTTCCTCCCTTGTTTTTAATCGTGAAGGTTAACTAATTTAAGTAGTGTTTAGATGGATAGATTCGCACTTGAATTTTAAATTTAAAATCTTACATTTCAAATTTTTATTTAAATTCTATCTATAAATTAAAAGTGCTAGATTTTTTTTATTTTTTAATTAATAAGAGATAAGAAAAGATACGAGAGTTATTAATATTAAAATTATAAAAGAATTACAAATAAAAAAAAAAAATAAATTTGAATATAAATCAAATTTAAATTTCATATTTTTTTTTTATTTTCAAATGAAATATTTGGTCCAAATTCAAATATAAATCTCATTAATCCAAACACACAATAATTTTTAATTTTACTCCTTTTAATAATTCTTATTAATATTTTTAAACTTGTAAACAATATGTAATTTTTTACATTTATTTTTTACTAAAATAATCACAAAAGTTATCTAGAAATTAAAATTAAAGTATACTAAAAACTTGTTACTATTAAGAAAAAACAAGTTTGTTAAAAAATATTCAACTATCACACCCTTGCTTTATATTTAGAAAGAAATAGAGTCTTAAAATTTTTCCCAATAGTTTAAGACTGAAGGGAATATGTTTAATGATATTTCATTTGTTCTACATACAAAATCACTTGATGCCTTTGTAAACTATAGTTTTCCCCATAATCAAATTTAGAGCAATTTAGTACTACTTTGTCAACAAAAAGAGTTATTCTGCATTTAATATAGGTCTTTTTACGTACCTCCATATTTGTACATGTTATTTCATCCCTTTCATATTGTTATTTGTAATGATATTTTAATAAACTCATATCTATAAAAGAAGTAGCTGGTTAGGTGATTATCCAATTTTTCTTTTCAACTTCATCCTTGTTTAATACTCATCATTATTTAGTACTTATTTTTAATGATTACTTTTTTGAATAAATAAGTAATAATTTTTATATGTTTCTAATGTCTTTTTGGTTAAAAGATATAAAAATTACATCTAGAAATTCATAAATAATCTTTAAAATTGAAACATTGTACTTTACAAAAATGGCTATTTGGAAACAGATCAGCCCTTGTAAAAGATCAGCACGCGGGTTCCCCAATGAATTGTAAATAGTTGGACAGAAAATGAAACGACATGCAAACAGTATCTAAAACACGCAATGCACTTCATTTTTCCATGGCAAACATGTGAGACCTACATGTAAGGCCCCCAAGGCACGCCGATAGACCCGATAGCTGCAAACAAGACTGGATCTCAAGGAATCGGGTCTTGAGGGACGTGTTGCCAATACCCCTCATGCTCTTGAGGGACGTGTTACCCTTTTGTGTTCGGTCGTTGACTACGTGGTAGCTTGTTATTTTCAGGTTATGATGTTCACCTTTACTTCTCTTTTAATTAACGATGATAGCTTAACTTTGCTTATTCTTTTTTAGGGATAAGATAAACCAAGTCCCTACGACACAAAGGCGCAGATCCAATACCAAACATAAAATAACCTGAATTATTGAAGTGCATCATAATTTATATATTCGAAGGTCGAACATTCGCAGGATTCCAGGAATCAACATGGAAACTCCTCATTGCTAATCAGATCAGCTCTAATTGGAAATGGGGAATCAATAGAAACTCCTCATTCCACTCCTCCCATGTCGCTACTGTGTTTCACCCTAATGAATTTTATAGCTCTAATTGGAATTGTATACCACTAAATTGAGGTGGTTTTCTCACCTTGTGTTGGTAATTAAAAAGACAAAATCTAATGACTTGTACATGTACTAAAGTCTAAAGCACATAGCACATCAGACAGGCCCGGGATCTCACTGTTTACCTTCTCATCGACAAATCATAACTGTCCTGTGTCGTTGACTTCAGTACTTTTACTCCTCTGCAGGAGGGTCCACCCAACGTCCATGCTCTTTTATTAGATCGATCAGTGCATCGGTTGCTCCCTCCATTGCAATCCCACGCTTCACCACAGTCTGTATCAAGTTTACACTAGTGTCAACATTCATCATTTAGCATGGATTTCCAGGTTTTCAAACCTAAGCATAGCACCGGTATCCGTTATATTCTTAAGTCATGCTAAAACTCTGAGACTCAAATTGACGTATATAGAGTTTCAAAATCAAAGATCCCACGAATTACCTTCCCAACATAAAGGTCAATCTTTCCAGGAGCACCTCCCACATACCCGAAGTCTGCATCTGCCATCTCACCAGGTCCATTGACAATGCAACCCATAATTGCAATCTGAAGAAGAGATTCGAATTACGGAAAATATCATTTTCATTACTTATCATCTTCCCTATTATTCTTTGGAGAATTAGAGAATAGAAGCTGCTTCTTGTTTTGTGCATAAGCAATTTATTTAGTTACAAGAGTAACAAATAACAGATTTTTTTTTTTGGTTGCAGTAAGTTGGGTCCCCTCATGCTGCATAACTTGTGTTCTCCGTGGACTAGATAATTAATTAATTACCGAAACACCAGGCAAGTGTGATGTCTTCTCCCGAATTTGTGCACTTATTTCTTGAAGGTCAAACAAAGTTCTGCCACAGGATGGGCATGACACATATTCCTGCAACACAAGTAACCCATATAATTTAAGATCAAGAGTCAACACTCCTGCTTCTGTAATATAGGTCTTGTTCATGATGGAATACATACAGTCTTCGTATTTCTCATTCTGCAACCTTGCAACAAGTTAAAAGATGTATCTCTGAGAAAATCAAGATTCTGGTCTGGAGCTTCCAAGAGAACACCGTCTCCAAGACCATCAACCAGAAGGGCTCCAGCATTTGCCCCAGCGCCAATTACTAAGTCATCCCTGTAAGTAGAAAGGATAAAGTTTCACCATGACCATGTAATTCTCGATCTTAACTCAAAAAGCCATACTGTGAGTCTTAAAATATACCGGTGAATTCCATGGGGATAATTAATGTGGTGAATGACTGGGAAGTTCAGAGAATTGTCTGCTAGGTACTCAAATAACCTGATCTCAATATAAATGCTCAGTGTTAGAAGGATTCTGTAGGCCACTAACGATTAATCATGTAGAGCTATCATATATTAAAAAAAAAAAAAAAAGTAGAATGATATAAAGTCACAATGTAGAGCAGATGAAATGCCACACAGAACACTTGTTTGGATCTTTCAGTCTGTCAACTAAAGAAACCAACCCTCACTCATCAGTCCTGAAACAACAGAGAAAATTTTGGTACTGAATTTGCCTATGTGCGATTGGGTCCTGATACAATCCCATATTTTCTTTACATGCATTGATTTGCACTGCATGAAAAAGGATTTTCAGCTAACGACGAGCATGTCAAGGGCAGAAAGGCTTGTTTGATCTGTATAACTGATACTGAATCCTCTTTTCTTGTAGATTTGATCAATGTAAATTACTCATTAACCAATTACAATCAACTCTTAAGAATCTAAAATTTAAGTTATATGCAAGGAAGGCTCTCGAGATCATGTTCATGTTGTCATGATTTCTGCAACTAAATTAATGAGTAACATTCTCACCTCCTTGCGGCATGCACCCTGCTAATTTTGTCTTCAGTATAAGGTAGGTCATGAAGAAGCATAGTAGCATCAAGACCTTTGAGGATTTCCAGTTGTTCATAAGACTCATCACCACATACTGACACAACCAGACGTGTGCCTAAGAGGTAATAAATTGGCAAAAATTATCAGAAGCAAGCTTTGAAATGGGTGAGGAAGACGTTAGAATAAATTTCACTGGTTATTACCCTAAGAAAATCACATGTAATAAAATTACATGGACCACCAACATTTCAAATTTAACTCGGTTTATATCTCCCCTTTCTTTTATGCCAAAATTCAACACGAGGAGGACTATACAGCATTCATGACGAGGTCCAATTTTTTTTTTTATCAGAAGGTCCATGTCATTTAGTTCAGATGTAATGATAATAATAACTAATTAGAAACTTAGGCTGAGAAACACCTTGTGGCAAAAGCTTGTAAGCACCAGTAGATAGTTCCTTTAGGTTCACCAAAACCATGGCATTGGGTAATGGCTTTGTTAACTGCTCTGATAAAGGAGTTATAACCCCTATACTTGTATCTATCAGCCTCTTGAGAGCTAGTCGCTGATCACGATGCCACATGGAGGAAAAAAAGGGAAATATATCATTCAAAACGTCATGATAAACTGGCAATGCTGTGAATTGTTTGAAAGATAATGAGGCAAACTAGTAAAGTCAATGCTGCTCTTGCTCCCATAGCAAAGATTCTTACCGCATCAGCATCATCTACTGGAGGAAGTTCTCGCAACAAGATTGAATCTACCGTGGCCAGATCCTAAAAAATACTGCCAAATTTATCAATACCTTCTTATGTAAAATCACAAATGCGAACATACCACATATTCTCATTTAACATAGAATGGAAACAACCT